TAAAAGCTAACTAAGCGTGAAAATTCCATATGATAGAAATCCTTGTCTAGAATTTGGAAGGCCTTTTTTTTTTTTTTTTTTTGGATAAAGCTGGGTTGAAAAACCATGTCTTTCATTAAAGTATGATGTATCAAGGGATGCCTGGGTGGCTCAGCGGTTGCGCGTCTGGCTACTGCTCAGGGTGTGATCCCCGGGTCTGGGGATCGAGTCCCACATCGAGCTTCCAGCAGGGAGCCTGCTTCTCCCTCTGCCCCTGTCTCTGCCTCTCTCTCTGTCTCTCATGAATAAATAAATAATGTATTGATGATTTTACTTATTTTTAAAAAGATTTTATCATTTATGAGAATAATGTATCGATGCTTTTACTTATTTTTTTAAAAGATTTTATTATTTATGAGAGACACAGACAGAGGCAGAGACATAGAGACAGAAGCAGGCTTTCCGCAGGGAGCCCAATGTGCGACTGGATCCCTGACTCCTGAGCCGAAGGCAGATGCTCAACCACTGAGCCACCCACGTGCTCCACTTTTACTTATTCTTTTTTTTCTTAATTTAAAGAAAATTTTTTCACTTTTACTTATTCTTAAAAGAACCTTAGGAGTAGCAAAGGGACTTTGACCCATTATCTTTTGTAGACATGAATTCTGAACACAGAAGTGGGGAACTGCATTTTTAAGAATGGTGACGAGCACTCTTCTCTTTCTTACAGCAGGGAGAGCTGTACAGACATTAAGAGTGATATCAGACTTTAATGTTCTTTTTTAAAAAAATTATTTATTCATGAGAGACACACAGAGAAAGGCAGGGACATAGGCAGAGGGAAAAGTAGGCTTCTTGCGGGGAAGCCTGATGTGGGGCTCAATCCCAGGACCCCGGGATCATGATCTGAGCCAAAAGCAGATGCTCAACCACTGAGCCACCCAGGTGCCCCAGACTTTAATGTTCTTGAACAACAGGTAAGAAATAGCTTTCAAAACCTTTAACTTGGGGGATATAGGAAAAACCAAGAGAGATGAATATTCTTAACTATACTAATAGTCAAAGTGACTTGTGCTATATCCCTGCAGCCATAGACCAAACTGGCTTGTATGCACCTGAGTGAGAAAAGTATCTTTGAAAGCAGAGTGTACTCTAAAAGCTAAATAAGAAAATCCAAAGGAACTGCTGCTTTCACTAGGAAAAAAAATTCAATACAACATGTGCTAAAATGTTTTCTTTTCTTTTTCCTTTTTTTAAACTTAACACTATGAAATATTCTTACCCTGTATCAAAAACAACAGGCAGCTTTTTCTTTTGCATTTTTACAAATATTTCCATCTCTGAGACTAGAGCTCTCCAGCTCTCAGCTAATAACATGTCCAGATCTAAAAGCATTACAGAAGGAATGTCAATTTGTTCTAGAAGCAATTATACATACAGTTTAGGAAAAGGCCAATTTTACTATGCAAGGACCACACATGCTGTATGTTTGTTGTATTATTTGATATCAAAGCAGAAACATCAAATTCTTCCTAACACACATGAAATAAAGAGGCCGGCTAAGGAACTCCCACATCCAATTCAGAGATATCTGTTACAGCTTATAGAACTTGACAGTGCTGCTACTACTGTTTTATTGGAAAGGGACACTGCTATTGACTATATATTACACTATGATTTTTTAACTTTATATATATATTTTAACTTTATATATATATATTTAACTTAATATATATATATATATATTTTGTAAAATGAGCATGATTTTGATCCCAGTTGTCATAACTGCAGGTATATTATTAATGTATGGCACTTAGATACCGTATCTCCAGAGTAATAGCAAGAATTTGCTGATTCCTTGTCACTAGATCACCTAAAAATATTTAATCAGGAATCAAGATTTTATCATAAATTCAGAGGGTGGCCAATAGCAAGAATCATTATATCTGTTTCATTTTGCATCATTATGATTTTGATGTGATTACTTTTATTAATTTAGTGTGCACTTACTATCTCTACTCAGTGTCAAACACAGTTATAGGAGATACAGAACTAAATGAGAAACAGCTTTCAGGGGAATATATTCTTGGGGTAGGGGAGAGGAGACATACAGAAAACAGTCACAGTAAATTAGAGAGGTGCATGCTATCTTTTGTATGGCATATAAAAATGACTGCTAAAGAAAGTGTGTGGTAGAGAAAAGATGGTCAGAGATGGAGAAATGTGAGGGCATCCTTGAGTGAAGAGGGATGGTTTCTTGTGTGGATGAGTGGGTTGGTCCTGCTGGAATAAGATAAAGACAAGAATGCAAAGCTCTGAGAATGTGAGCAGATCTGCTGTTCGTAGAGCAGATCTGTGTATGGGGAATGAGTCTGGAAGGCCATAGTAGGATAGGTTCTATAACTTACGAAGCTTAGGCTTTCATCAGAAAGGATGAATACCTACCATTTGCCTCGACATGGATGGAACTGGAGGATATAATGTTGGGTGAAATAAGTCAATCAGAGAAAGAATCCTCATATGGTTTCACTCATATGTGGAATATAAGAAATAGTGAAAGGGACTATAAGGGAAAGGAGGGAAACTGAATGGGGAAAAATTAGAGAGGAAGACAAACCATGAGAGATTCCTAATTCTAGGAAACATTCAAAGGGTTGCAGAAGGGGAGGTGAATGGGGGGATGGGGCAACTGGGTAACGGGCACTAAGGAGGGCACTTGATGGGATGAGCACTAGGTGTTATAGTATATGATGGCAAATTGAATTTAAATATAAATAAATAAATAAATAAAGTTTAGGCTTTATATTGCAGGGCATATTTTTATATATTACCCAAATACTCAAAAAATAAACAAATTAAAACAGTATGATACTGGTATAGAGATAAACTAATGAAACAGAATAGGAAATGGAGAAATAGAGTAGAAAATTTAGATGACATATAAATGGAAGTTTAATACACAAAAAAGCTAGCATTTCCAATGAGGGAGTAAAAGATGGATTTTTCAACAAGTGGTGTTTGGACAACTGACTAACCATTTGAAAATAATATTTAATTTCTATATACCACATGACAAATTGAAAAAATTCTCAGATGGATTAATGATTTAAATGTAAAACATATCAGAAGAAAATGTTTATAATCTTGGGGTTAGAAGATATCCCTCTTTCTAATGTGACAACAAGGTCAGATATCACAGAGGAAAAGATAGATATAACCACAAAACCACAATCTTCAAAAATTACAAGGTTCTGAAAAGTTTAAGGCACTATAGCTCTAAGACAAATGACAGGTTGGGGAAGATATCTGTAATCTATGTAATAGTTAAAGAATTAGTACCTATAATATATACTGAGCTCCTCTAAATCAATAAAAAAATCTAACATAGAAAAAATGAGCAAAGAACACAAATAACAAAATTCATGAAAGAAATGACAACTAATAGTTATAAAAGTATGCTCAATCCCAGATATAATCAAAATAAAGCTTGTAGATAATTTTATCTTTTTACCTATTAGATTATTGACAGGAGATAAATGTGGGTGATAGATATACCAAATGATGATTGATAATGTTCAGTGTTTGAGAGGATGTAGAGAAATGATACTGAAGGTATACAATTGGTACATGCTTTTTGGATGATAATTGGATAACATTTATATATAAAATGTACATATCATTAGATCCTATAATTCCAGAGCTAGTAACTTATTTATAGAAAAAAATGTATATGAACACAAATATGAAAAAACAGTATGAGGATATTTATTGCACTGTTGTTTCTAATAGTGAAAATCTGCAAACAACCTAGTGGTCTGCCAAAAGGATTAATTTAATAAATTGCAGCACAGTTGTAGATACAAAAATTACTATGGTGTTGTTAAAAATATATATACCATCATGGAAAGACATCCATGACACATGTTTAACTGAAATAACAGTTGGTAGAGGGATCCCTGGGTGGCACAGCGGTTTGGCGCCTGCCTTTGGCCCAGGGCGCGATCCTGGAGACCCGGGATCGAATCCCACATCGGGCTCCCGGTGCATGGAGCCTGCTTCTCCCTCTGCCTATGTCTCTGCCTCTCTCTCTCTCTCTCTGTGTGACTATCATAAAAAAAAAAAAAAAACAGTTGGTAGAATAATCCCCATAGTATAACCTGCCAGAGAGGTACTGAACTAAAAAGGTTAGGAGCATGGGTTTTGAGGTCAAGCAGATCTGGATTTGAGTCCCAGTTCTATTATTTATCAGATATGTGAAAATGGCTAATTGCTCTGAGTCTTAGTTTCTTCATTTGTCCAACTGGAATGGATTCTATTAGAACTTACCTCACAAAAAAAAAAAAAAAAGAACTTACCTCACAGAGTTTTAAAGAGGATTTATAGTATATAGTAGAGGCTAAATAGATACTAGTTATTATTACTATTATCATTTTTTGCATACTTATTATTTTCAACCAGTTCTCTTATGAAAACGACTTCAAAAAGCCAATCTAATATCCTTTGGAAAATTACGTTGGATAGAGTCTCTAATTGAATCTATATGTCAAAGACAATTTTAGCTTATGTAAAAAAATATTCTATTTATCTAGTAATCTGCTGAATAAGGATAGCAAATTTGACACATTAATTTTTGACATAGTTCTGTTTTGGTTGAATATTCATAAGTCACAAGGCAAATAAGGAACACATTTAGACACTATATTCAAGAATCAAAATAAAGAACATTTAGATAGCTGCTGTTAGGAGAACTTTAAAAAATCCTAATGGCACTAAATAGAAATTGTCTTCTAGTTAGCAAACTGACTATTAATATCATTTTTGTGGTAGTTCTTATGTATACATATTTAGTTCTCAATTGTATTATCAGGAAAAACACAAAAAAGGTGGGAAGGCACCCTTTTAAATACTTCCCCCAATAACATCAGGAAAATGAGCCACTCAAAATGAAAAAAACATGTTATACAGTAATATGTTAAATGCCTATGTCAACATAAACTTCATACAGAAAGAAACACACATACCCTTCTCTTCGGAAAATTGTTCGAAAGCTGTCTCCCAAGCTTTTATAACTATTTGGATCAGTTGCACATCTCTGAATCTGGAATCTAGAAAAAAAAAATCAAACAAACAAAAATCCTAGTTAAGGATTTTGCCAAATGGCTTTCCTCATTTTTCAAAGTCTTAGGAAACTTAGCCTTTTCAGGTTAATCCAAAATATTCTGGTTTTTACTATAGATTTTATTGATTTATTTGCCTTATGTAATCTTTACCTTCCTTTTGTAGCCTTTAAAACTATATTTCTCTGTGCCTTAATAGAAACTAGGGAAAGGGTTTTTTCATCTGTTTCTTAGCCAGGCAGATGCACCCTGAGGCATTTATGCCTTTTTCTTTTATGAAAAGCATACACAGATGTCATAGATTGTTTTAATGTATAATTCAGAAATCTGAAGGTGCATATGAAACAAATAAGTAGCTCTATTTCTTATCTTAATTAGTGCCCCCTTGATGGTAATTTAATACAAAGGTTAAAAATACAGAGCAGCTAATACGGCCTAACTTTGATCCTGATTGTGAATTTGGAATTCATTCTGGCAGACAGGAGCCCGTGCTTAAAGCAAGAATTGCAGTTGTATTGTGATACAGTTTACAATCACTACTTCTACTTCGTGATGGAGCAGAGTTGGTCAACATGATCCAGCTACCTGAATTTTCACAGAAGTGCCGTGTTCTGTATATAATTGGTGCTAAACAAAAATGTCTTGCATTTTGGAAAGCTGAATTCTTTTTTTTTCTTTCTTTTTGGTCAAGATTATGCATCTCAGGACTCTCACCTTCAAAATTTGGAAATTTCCTGATGTGAGGATTTTAACTTATTTATTTTGTACCTTATTCTGGGGTTTGTTTCTACAGAGGTTTATGGCAAGTGCTCTTGTTTCCCTACACCCCAGCTTTTCTCCATTTTTGGGTTTCTTTAGTCTGCTCACTCCCTGTATGTAACTTCCTTGTTACAATTCTGAGCTGAGGCCCTTCTGCTTTTCCTTCCACAATTTTACCAAAAATTTTTAATAAGATTTTTCAGAAACACCACTCCTACCATCTACTTTAAGATGTTTTTTCTCAGATTGCTCAATTTATAATACGAATACTTCTACCTCTAAGAATGATGGATTTTATGGTTCTAAGGCCCCAGGGAATTATGCTGAAAACTTACCCATATATCACAGAAAAGAGTGAATGTTTTGATTGAAGTAGTTGGGCATATGAAAGGAATGAGTATATTTTATGACTGGAAAGTGAGGCTGATCATATTTGATTGTGTAAAGGAGAGAGTTGATGATTATAATTGTGCAGGAGGGAAGCCATTCTGAGATGAGGAAGTTGAGTATTCCAGCACAATTCTTCCTCAGAACCCACACAAATACCTACGAAAATATTTACTGCCTGATTGGGTGGATTGGAGTGGGAGCATAGAGGGCAGAATAACCATGAAGGCAGTATGCCAATCCAGGTGGAGATAATGCCAGAATATCAATGGAGGCAACAGAAATGTAAAGAAAAGTGTAAGCTTGTTGGGTAATCCTTATTCTCTTTAAATATGTATGTGTTTGTGTACGTGTGTGCTTGCGCGTGCTCATGTTTTATGATCCATTCAGCACGACCCCCTCTTGATCCTCTTCAATCCAGCAAGCAATATTCTACTATTGCCAAAATTTAAGACATCATAAATATTCATCTTCATAATGGTTTTGTCAAATTTACACCTCTAATAGCATGATCATCTTTAGAAGATTAGTTTTTTATAAGAACTATATTTCTAAAATTCAAATTGTATTGAACTCATCGGAAGATCATGGACCAATACAGCTAACTCATTTAAACGGTTCCAGATATAGAAGTACGTTTTGTGTATGCATAATCACTGACCCAGAAGGCTCAGTAGGCAGTTTTGTCTAGAATCAAGAACATGATTTGATGGTCAGGTAGATGGACCATGTTTGGTATTTCTGGGCTACTGCATATAGATGAGTTAACTTGGTACAAATGAATTTTGTATTGGAAACAAATGAATTAACACTAAACCCAAAATAGTATAATGAGAAAACTGTATGTACATCTATACAACGAATAACTTTGCATAAAATTTGTTTATACTACAAATAACATAGGGAGTGATTTCCAAAATATGACATTGATTGTGAAAAAAGAATCTCTATCTCTGCCTTTGCACATTTGCAGCCTATAGTCATGCTAAGTATGAAACATTTTCTTATGTCCTAGTTGGGAAGTCCATGATTATTCTCTATTCTTTGAAGAAAATAATTTAAAATAATTTTATGTATTATAAAAGTATTACATGCTCATAGGTTTTTCTTATAATATCTGTAATAATTTTCATTAAGTTCACTTCCATCAAATTCCTTTCTAGGTGCTTTTTTCCCAAATTACCAACTATTTTAAAAATAACTGTCATATGAAATAAGATCTACAGGTTTAAAAAAAAACTCAGGGCACTATCTTCACCGTCAAGAGTCACAATAAATAAATAAATAAATAAATAAATAAATAAATAAATAAATAAAATAATTGACAATATAAAGAAAATATCCACAATGTCAAATAGCATCAGCACCAAATTGCCCAGGTGTTCATCAGACGGGGTAATTACTGCTTTCTGCAGAGGGTCAGGAAGGACTTCAGGAAGGAGAAGGGACTTGAGCTGCTCCTAGAGGATTCAGAGGAAAAAGAGTAGGCAGGAGAAAGCATTCCAGGTGGGGAAATGAGAGAAACAAAGGCCAGTGAGAAAAAGTTGTCCTTTCAAGGGAAGTGAAGAAAGAGATCCCCCGCAATGGCAACCTCCCACATTCCCTTCAGGACAGGTGTTACAGGACTTTGCTGCAGCATTCAGTTGCTCAGGGTGGGGAGACCTGAGTGGGTTAGGGGAGGAAATTTATGAAATTAAGTCAAAGCCCAGGGTAGACCATTTGACCTCTTCCTGCTCCTCAGCTGAGTACTTCAGTTAATTCTGCATGGCCATCTCACAGCTATGTGATCTTAGTCTTGGAAAAGGGACTACAAATGAGTCAGCAGAGGAACCAAAGCAAGTGCATCCCAATGCCTAGAAAAATGGCTTTACTCCCTCTTTCACTGCTGGAGTTAGAGATGTTGACTTGGTGTATGATATTGGTGTGCTTGGGTAATGCTGAGGCAGATCTTCCATCGGCTCACACCAAGATGAATACAGAATATGGTGATTTCCTAATTAACTAGTCACCTAACCTTACTATTGGAAGTCTTGGCACTTTACTTGCTGGTTGCAATTTCTTTCTTTTTTGTAGAATCTGACAGATACTATTTCTAATTTGCCATTCATTCAGTTAGTAAGACTTCTCGAACACTTAGTATGTATTAGGTATTCCACTACCTGGGGCATTACAAAGAAATAAGAGATAATCCTGCCCTTTAGAAGCTTCTAGTTAGTGCAAATAGATGATTACTATATGCAAGTAATAATAGTGTTTCAGAGTATCCAGTGTCAGCCAAGGAGTTTTATTGGCACTCAGCAAACACATACTATTATTACTCTTCTTGGAGATGATCTCCTATCTATGGGTGGACTGTAGCTGACAGATAATAGTACTATATGGAGGCACTGGAGGGAAGAGGGAAAATGGGAAGGCTATCTTCGGGCTAAATATCTGGTGATTAAATTTTACCCGCCCACTTTAGGACAGGCAACAAGAACAGTGAGTGGAATCGTAAGGAGTGCTCCATTTAGAAATGGACTGATGGGTGACGCTGTGTTAATTACAAACAGGACCAATGACATCAAAATCATATTATATGAGGAGGGTCTACAAGCTGTTGTAAAGTCGTGCCAAAGGACGGGCAGGCATGGTAAATACTAATTCCTCAGTAAAGCCGCCCACCATTCTTCACGATGCTAAAGCAGTTGGAGGTCCCGTGAAGCCGGCTAAGGCAAGGGCAGCTGTCTCTTCTATTGCACATCTCAAACATGGCGTGTCTACACTTTGCAGAGAAAGTACATGCAGTATTTAGTTCTACCGCACATGACTTCTTTGGATCACAGACTTAGTTATCAGTTCTTCTAAGGAATCTGTTTCAAGTTGATATAATTATAGTGCATTTTGGTCAATCATGTAAAACAGCAATTTCCTTCTTCCTCTCTACTACATTTCAGCAACTTAAAAGGTTTCTCTCTTGGATTGAAGCTTTACGTCAGCCTTATCCCAATCTGCATTCTGTGCTAACAAATTCTCCCTACGCCCGGGGAGACAATTTTCCAGTTACGTCATATAGCTCTTTGTAAAATTACAAAGGCAAAGCCACACTACTCTTGATTGTATTCAGAAGAAAAGGTTGGACCTTTCCATTGTCTTAATAAAAGCAGCTTAGACACATCTGGAATCTCCATCTGAGAAACTTCCCTTATTAGAATGAAAACCTGCTGCCAAACTGGCGAATTGGACAGTGGAGTAGCTCTTGAGAAGTATTTGGGGCCTGATGTGCAGTCAGGATGAACCACAAAGAGAGGCATGCAGCTTAAACCCCATGTATGCCTCACTGCCCAGGAGCCAGCAATCTCATCTGCTGTGGTGCCAGGGAGCACAGTTCTGCACACTCCTACAAGCGGAGGGAACAGCCCTGTGCCCCACCATGCCCTACACACGAAGCGAGTTACTATGGTAACCACCAGGGCAAAGAAGGGCTGCTCAATGTTCACAAACAAATGCACAAGCATATTTTTAAAAGCTGAAGAATGTTCTCACTCACTAAACTATTTATTTTTCTCTGCACGGGTCGAGAACCATAACTGTAGCCTTTCCCACTGACTTCGTTGTATGCCCAGCCGGTGACACCAAATTTCAGACTACTCTTGTTGATTTGCAGCCCAGTTAGGAATGCCAGGTTAGGTATTTGGCTTGTTTGAGCACTTTTTAAGAGATGGCCATAAAAAAGAGAAGTCTGTAAGGAATAAAATGACTTTGCTGCCTTAAAAGCTATAGGATGGGGTTGTTTGAAAATTTCAAAAATCTCAAATTTATGCAGTGCCTTTATTTGCAAAGTAATTTTATATATGTCACTT